GTGACAAGGCCACCCGTTCCAGTATGTTGCCGTGCTATCTCAACAACCCACTGAGAAGGAAACTAAAAGTGCATTTATTTCTTTGTGTGGAATATGTCCAATTTAGTAGACAAATACATGGAGAGGAAACAAGTTGTAAATGATTTATTGAAATGTCATGTTGTTTAACATAACCGTTACAACACTAAGAAACCTACTTTAAATCCAGAAGCGCAGATTGGTAGATCTTGGGTTAACAAACTTTGTGGAGTTATCTAAGCTAGTTTGGTTCATGTATGTGCAGTGGCGCAAAGTGCAAAAGAGTATCAATAAGCATGCTTTCACCCAGTCACATTATTGGTTACATTGCTCTGAAACTGCTGAGCCAATCACAGTGGCACATGACGACAATAGCAAATGAAGAATTGGGTAGGAAATGAAGAATTGGGTAACAAATGTAAAGTGCTGTACTGGGTCAGAAACTATGTGTTGATTTTGAAATCAAGGATTTATGACGCTAGAGGTGCATTAGGATAGGGGCAAGTAGACAAGAAAGAAAGTAACTATAAAATACAAAAACAATGGCTTATTTGATTTGGAAGCCAATTGTAATCATTTATTCGTCAATAAAGAACAAAAAGTGTTTCTGTCAATGTTCTCAACCAACCTACCTCTCAATCGTGCGTATTGCACTGGGCATCAACACCACACAGAAAGAAAACTTGCATTTCAATATCAGTAAAATTGATGTTTGATTTTGTGACTCCTAAGAGTCTACAGCCATGCTAACACTTCAGTAAGAGTTTACCTATGGACCCCTTGTGCCTTGAGCTGAATGCTAATATCAGCATTCTAGTATCCTTACAACAACTATGCCAAAACAGCCACGATTACAATGTATAATGTGTACTGTGTTCATGTTTAGCATGTTAGATTGCTAACGTGCTAATTTAATCATAAGGAAACGTATTGGATTTATTGACATGTTGAACTGATGATTGCTGTAGTTAGTTTCAGTTAATTACACTTCATGCTGACGGAGATACAAATTAATTCATGACAATCCATCCGAAGGCATTTGAGATATTTCAGTCTGGGCTAGCGTGCTGGACTGACTGACAGACCTCCGTAGCCATACAGCCATTCCGCTAGCATGGCTAAACTAATGGGACGGAGAATATGGCTACATCATAAATAAGTCAACATGTTTCCAGGGCACATTACTGATGGTGGAGTAGTGCTCCCATCTAGCATAAGATACCTGAAGTGAGCACATCATATATTTATAGTTACACCACAGTCTTTGAATACACTTTGATCCTAACGCTTCAATCGATTTCTTTTGGTATTCAAATGTTTTCGCTTTCTTTTCAATTATTCTTCCAGCGGTGAGAAGAAGCCATTCTTCAGTTAAACTAAGCGCTGCCACTCTTCCTTCACACTCTGTCAAGGGCCAGAGGAAGAAAAAACAGCAGACTCAAACTCCAAAAATGTCAATCCTTTTATAATTTAGGAGAGAAAAGGGGGATTTGATGCAGCCAGTATTCAAATCGCAGAGCCGAAAGCTTACCTTGGAGACAAATAGCACCGCATCTTTTGACTCTCTTCCTACCTCCATTTTAACCATCCCGAGACGAACAGTACAGCGAGGGCCCATTCTATATGGAAGATGGTGTTTGCTAAAGACACTCTATTCAAGGTGAATTCGCATCAAACGGCCGCCACACACACACATACGTCAACGGCACAGTCACAGTCTTTTATTCTCCTTAAGTGCTTAGGGCAACGCTTCAAAGCAGGTCAAACCACTCTCGCAGTTGTTATTCAGTTGACTCATTCACTTTTAAACAATGTCTACTCAATTTGTAATCATGCTGTGCACCATCTGTGTATATATCCCATGCATTCTCACACATGAAGCATAATACACATAATCCATTTCTATATATTTGTGATATATTAAGGAAATACTCCTCTATAAATGATTCCACGTACACAGCATGGTCATTACTGGCAATATACAGTGGAAGCAGAGATATTTTTGTTGAACTTAAATACTGAATAATTGATGTAATAGCTCAGTTGTGCGCGTCATTACTTCACTTCAAGCTGCTACAGGGAAAATGCAACATGCTGAATATTGTTTGTGTCAATTCAGTTCAAGTCGTAAACACACAACTGAAAACACACACCCCTAAGCATATGCACTGATGCCGACTGTTTTGATGAAATGGTAAAATCACCAGAGAATTTGGGGCAACAGTGTCAAATCTCAGCAAACTTTCAATCATTTAGAGAATTATAGAAAAAGTCAAATGAAATAAAAGTCATTAAGCGAGGTCATTTTTTTCTTTGCCCCTTTCTTAGAACAACTCGTTAAGTACCACCAACCGAGAAAAGTGTTTTCTTCTATTGGGAGATAAATAATTAAATAAATATTACAGAAATAAATTGTTGTTGGATATGCATGCCCATGGCGCCATGAACACATTCCCTTATTTATGAATACCTCCGCTCTGTTTTGCCCTAACAGAGAGGATCATTCCTAGGCACCGCCTCAAATTAATAGTTTACACACACAGAGGGTGTAGGTCCCATGTGTGTGTGTGTGTGTGTGTGTGTGTGTGTGTGTGTGTGTGTGTGTGTGTGTGTGTGTGTGTGTGTGTGTGTGTGTGGGGGGGGGGGTGAAGGTGTGTGAATGTCACACACACACACACACACACACACACACACACACACACACACAATAACAAGCCATCTAATCTCCTGATTTGATCCTTACTCTTATCTCGCTATGTACTGAGTCACTGCATTCTGAATGCAAATTTACGCAAACGTCTACCAGAGCCAATCTCCCGTAACTAGTTCACAGCAAGAAAATGAGGCATAGAGGAATGTTGCATATAGCATAGAAGCTTCTAGTGCTTTTAGTTTGTGGATCAAATGAAGTGTGGTGTAAAGAACTCTATAAATAAATCAAACATAGTTAGTTTAAAAGACACATTTAAAGAAAAATGTGTACGCATTTTGCCACTTTTGGTTTTAAAGTTTGCTTTCTTTCTTTTTCTGGTAAGTTACCAAAAATAAGATCTGTCACTTGTGAATGTCCGAAGCTTCTACAGTAAATTTCTATAAAATGGCGGTTGATACTAAATGAGATGGTGAATTTAGTTCATTTATAGCATTTAAACGTTACATGTGGTAATTTCATTTATGTGTGTTTGCCACAGGTCTGATTTTCTGCTATATTAAAAAAATGAAATGGACAAATCCCATAGATTTTTGTTGAGAGAGTCCTTGCAATGCTTACTTCCGGGTCAGCCTACACAAATACGTCATCTCCCCACCACTATTTGGAGAGTATATGAACGAAAATGAACCTGCATATGTCAACAAGGCTTTCTGATACGCAGGAGTGTGCATCATACCTACAGCTTTTTAAATGGCTGCCACCCAGTCCCTGCCCAGACTCTGGCACTTTGTATGGTTTGCACATTCCACATTAGTAATGCAGATCCTCTCTCTTCGTCTCCCTCTCTGCCTGTCAGGCTCATCTGCTCCAATAGCCCCCAAAGTGCTAAAAATGAGCCCTCAATATGTTAAAAGGAGTCAAGCAAAGACCGGGCTCAAATGTATTTTTCAAACAGAATAGATCCCTCCGCAGGGACCGATTGATCTGAAAGTGACACAAAGGCTGGATGGGCACAACTGCTGCATATGCAGTATAATGCAAAAGCTCTTCAAACATGTTCAGTGTTTTTTATATTTACAAATGTTAACCCAGTAATGTTACAACAAGGGATGCCACTAACTCAATATAGAATAATCTTCCCCATTAAGCAACAAAATAAGGTCAGAAAATAGTGACACTGTCCGTCCGAGTTTCTCAAAGTCTAATTCAATCTTTAGATGAAGAAAATGTTGATGTTCCTCTATGTAGAGTTTGCTGTCCCTTTTTTGTTATAAAGGCATTACATAAGTAGCATGTAGACTCAGTGAATCAGGTTAGTTTAACTTAAAACATATTAATTGAGTTGATATTAATAAAAGAGGTCAACAAGTTGGAACTCATCCTGTATTAACTGCATGCTTCAACATGTATGAGAACTGTCTGCTCTCTATTTATACCCATTCACTGAAGGACAAGTAATAACAGAGGCCCAGCAGCAGATGTGAATAATACAACAAACCCTATACCATGTATACATTCTTAAGATAACAGGCACTTCATTATGCCAAGGTAATACACGTGTAAAGCTGTGAAAAGCATCTCCACTGTACTGTTAGAGAAATGAAAGATCCCTCTCCTGATGTCTGTGTAGATAATGGAGCAAATAGATCACATTAAGTACCTATAAAACAAAAGTCAATATTGCTACAGCATTTGACCAGCAGTGCTAATTCCCCTCCTCCTGGATGTGTACATTCAGCTGATGAGAGAAAACGCGTGTGCTGCTGTGAGAAGCGATAACCGATGCATTAAATCCTTCTTGGACATTTAAACAGGGTTGTTCAAATACATTTAAAAAAAGCAGGAGTGGACGTCTTACAGAGAACATGTACTGTATGAGGACAAACAGCTGGATGAAAGTGAGGATTAGGAACCACACGTATTAAGGGACAAAAGAAACCATTGTCCGGTCCTTCACTCTCCATCAATCATTAATTACAAGAGCATTAAAGTGAGTGGGATAAAGGTAATTCAGAGGCACTGCTTGCTCCTCAGCTGATACAGTCACTGTGGGTGTTTTGGCTTGTCAGTGCCTTTCACTGACAATTAAACCTATAATCACATAAACGATACACAGCTCCATGATGCAGAGCTGCTGTCAACTGTGGTTATGTCTTCCTGCTGTGGTGGAAGACAGAGTGAGGGCGAGGAAGAGAGGCAGAGGGACAGCGGGAGGGAGGGGTGTCAGAAGAATGATAGAGAGTTGGCAACAGATGTCTCATTTGTGATGATAAATGGACAGGAGTGAGGAGGGTGAGAAAAAACAAAAAGGGGTTGGGACGGGACTCACCGTGGCTCCCTCGTAGTGAGGCCGGGGAGCGGTATATGGACACAGGTGGCTGGTGGTGCCTGGGCCCCTGAGGGTGCTCGGGTCGGGGCAGGGCAGGGGGCACAGGGGCTCCAGGTGAAGGGGACAGGAGGTGGAGGTCTGACGACGAGCCCCAGGCAGAGCCCACCACCGTGCATCCCACAGACAGAAGCAACACCCAGAACAGCTGGCCCTCATGGGGCTTTCCTTTGGGGAGCATGGCTCACGCCCCCCCACCCTACTGGATATTTAAAAGCGAGTAAAGCCGATACACAAGGATCTCAAAAAAAGTGACCTTCCCGTAGCCAGGATGCAGCGGCAAACTCCATAGCAGAGAGAAATCAAGCTCCTTTGTTAATGTAGGTTCCCTCCAAACGGATCGGGCTTGGACTCCACTCGTCACGAAGGCAGCAGGTCTCCCTCTGTCCTCCGCTTGCTGGCTGGCTCTTTGAACCAGAATCCAATATGTCTTTACTTTCTGTTCTCGGCAGGATCGCCCTGTGGCTGCTCCTTTGATGACCACGCAACTCGCCTGTGTGTGCGTGGAGTGCAAACCGTGGAGATGGTGCGCGCTGTGCTTCGGCTCCTGGAATGTGTTCCTGTGCGCCCTCTTCCACCTGCAGGCGCAGAGTGAGTGACAGGACGGGGGACAACCTGCGCAGCTTCCTCCTGCCCCGGTCGCTCCGCTTCGTTCTGCTCTGCGCAGCACCGCTCTGTCAAGCCTCAGATAATACACAGCCTGGGCTATGAGAGTGAGGAGGAGGGAGAGACGGAGGGAGGGAATGACGGAGAGACGGAGAGCTCCACACTCTCCGGCACGGACAAACTATCAGCTGTCTGTTCCTCCCTTCTCCCTCACAGTTCAGAATCTCAACGCAGGGAGAAGATCTCCACTTGTGCTTTATCTCCGTCTTTAAGTTTGGATCCAATATTTCACAGACTTTTTTCTTCTTCTTTTCTTTTTTTTGTCCTCCCTGGAGAAGTGAAGTGGTCTGTCTTGTTAACCCAGGGAGCCCCAAGTCTGATAGCTCTTTGTATTACTCCACAGGAGAAAGAAAAAAAAGAGACAGATTTGCAGACAGATAAAGAAAGAAGAAATGAGAAACTGCTGGGAGGGACCGAGACGGAGGGGTGGAGGGGAGCGTGAGCGAGGAGAGGAGACAACGGAGGAGAGATAGAGAGAGAAAGACGAGAGGATGAGAGCGGGCTCAGGTGAAACTAAGCGAAGATGATGGGACGGAGGAAGGGAGGCAGAGGAG